CGCGGGCCGGGGGGGGCTGCTGCAGCCCTGGGACTGTGGGTGCTGCTGAAGGACGTTGCCTTGCTCCAGGAAGAGGGAGCACGATTTCTCCTGGTGGTCTCTAAACCCTCACAGCTCTGCCCCTCAGGCTGCATTTTTGGGCACCCGGAGCCTGTTTTAGCCACAGGATAAAAGGTGCTTTCGCAGAAATAGTTAAAGATTCATGGTGCTTCCCCGGCTGAGGGAGGGATCCACAGAGAGCAGAGCAAGAGCTGTGTTTAAAGAGAATCCTGTTCCTGTCCCTTTGCCCCACAGCAGAGCACACGGGCTCAGACATCTGCGGAACGTGCCAGCGGCAGCTGGAAGCAAAAGCCCTTCACCTGTTTGCTCTGGAACTCCAAGAGCTGCTGGAGCAGCTCAGCACCAAATCCCTTCGCCAGGCAGGGACGGCGGGGGCCGTGCGCCAGAGGACAGACCCCCGGGGGTTTGCTGGTGGAGCAAAGGGAAGCGCCTGGCTCTGGTCACTCCATGCGGGGAGCGCAGGCGGGTCGGTGTCGGCGTGGTTGGGGCTGCCCCCAGCACTCAGCCTTGCTTCTCTCCATCTCTGGACCTGATTCTTTGTGCTCTCTGAAGCAATGTGAGCTTTTCCATGCTGGGATCTGTCACGGATGAGTTCTGGGGTCGTCCTCGTCCTCCCCACTCCCAGGCTAGTGCCACGTTTGCTGAGCAAGGAACTGTTAAACTGGAGAGACAGACAGTACCTGGGCTATAGCCATAGGTCTGTTCATGGCACTACTGCACCCAGCTGTGTAAGGCAACCACAGCTGGATGGCATGTGACAGTGTTAGCCCTGGAGGGACTGAAGAGATGCCAGTGCGTTCCTGGTCCGGCACAGAGCTGCCCCCAGGGTGCTGTGGCACTGCAGCCCCCCAGCACCCACATCCCTGCCGGTGGCTCAGAGGAGAGGGGCTGCTCACCAGTCTCCTGGCCCAAAAGCAAAGCCAGACCTTCTCCAGTGTCCCCTCAAGCCATGCCCTGGTTGGAAGGGGCACAGCTGGTCTGGGAGTGCAGAAGCACTTGGGGATGGTTCGTACAAATGTGGGTGCTGAGTTAAAGGCCAGGGTGCTCCAAGGTCCTCTCTTCCATACTGTGCTACAGGTTATGCATAATATAGGTCCCACCCAAAGCCACTTTCCCTGATTGAAGCTTTGTGGTTTGAACAAAGAGAAGGAAACCCTGCGAACTTCCCCAGCCTTCAAGCCTAGAAAGGATTATTCCTGATATTTGGCAGGAATGAGTTGTACTCCAGTGCCCGGAGGTCCCTTCTCACCCAGGTGCCCGGCTCTGTGGTCTCTGCAGTCTTTCTGGAAAGCTCTCACACATCTGCTGGCAGCAGCACACGGGAGTGGAGGCACCCGAGGTGCAGGTCCTTCCTCCTGCCCCAGGTAACAAGGATTCATTCTGAAGCATCAGCACTTTCTTCTACCTCTAACCTGCCTCTCTACCTGCCGTGAGGCTCAGGGCAAAGCGGGGAAGGCAGGGAAATGGTTTCTACCTGTCACTGGAGGTGTTGCAGGTCCTCCAGGAGCAGCAGCATTGTGGAAACACAGAGGAGCAAAGTTGGCTGGGTCAGACCAGAGCACTTGGAGCCACCTGCCCCAGGGAGCAGCCTGATGCTTTCCCCACCAAAGTTTTAAGGCTATTGCACTCCAAACAGGCCCCACCTCTAGCACTTTCCTTCCACATGCAGCATGGAGCTGTTCTGCCTTGAAGATACGAAGCAATGCTGGTGGCCAGAGCCTTGCTGGGCTGTCCCAAAAGCTCACCCAGGACTCCTGAGCGGGTGCTGCTTTTGCCTCCAGCCTTTGTCTGGAGCCAGCGAAGTTGTAGATCTTTGTTCTAGCTGGTGCGTCAAATCTGATGTCTCTCCACTTGGGAGGAGAGTATCCTGGCCTGAGACATACTGAAAAACTAACTCCGTTGCAGCTGAATATCTCTAGAGCATTAACAGCTACCTCCTGATATTTTCCTATTAAATGAGCTCATTTCTTTCATAGAAATCCAATGGCAATTGTAGCAAGAATAACACATGGCACACAGAGCCCCGAGGCCACTGCGCAGGTCCAGGCTCTGGGCTCAGAGGATGAGCTCTGGGGCTTTCAGGTGCAGGAGCCTCAGCGGGGTCTGAGCCGCTTCCCTGCAGCAACACCCGGGCAGCCGTGCCACGCCGTGCCCCGCAGATCGGAGCAGCTCTCACCCCACTTCCACAATCTTAGGAGAGAGTGAGGCTTTACTGCGAGCTCAGTGCCATGTTTTGGAGGGTGTCCCATCCCAGGGACTGAGTCAAGTTCCTTCATCTCCTCTGGCTTGCTGCCTTCGGAGCAGGGCTGCATTTCCAGGCTATGCTCAAAGACTCCTAGAATAAATTAGACACTGACAAACCTGGAGGCTACAGAGTGTTTAACTCTCTTATTTATGGATCGTCCTGGCACTGGTACACACACTACTGTCACTGCTGCTAGAGGAGAGTTTTACCTGCACATTTCAGCCAGACCCAAACTATTGGGTGCTAGGAACAGGCTTCGGGCAGAGAACCAAGGGAGTCATAACAGATAAGCTGGTAGGGGCTCCCTAGGACATGTATATTGAATTGAACAGGTCCTGTTATATTAAAAAAACCAAAACAAAACAACACACAAATAAATTGAAACAACTTCACAAGAGAGGATGACTCCTGAAAACAGAAAACCCCCACACTTTCACCACTGAATCCAAGGGATTTCAATGCAGAAACATCCCTTCTGATGAGGAAGGCACCAGCACAAGTCCCAAACCATCTTCAAGGTGAAAGCACCCTGGACAAGAACAGCAGCCCTCTGGATGTGGCTGTGAGGCCCCATCCTCATCTCCCCAGGACCTGGGTAGCTGCAGGCAGTGATGCCTGGGAGGAGAGCCCAGGCAGCCAGATGATCCGGTGTCCCAGCAAGGAGCCCAGAGAGGGGTGCCCTGCACATTCTCACTCCATGCCATGCTGTCCCCAGCGCCCCAGCAAAGATACTCAATGCACATATAAAAGCCCAGGCAGTGACATCCTTGGTGCCCCTATATAGGTGCTGGTTGGGGTGCCCCGAAAGGAATGCCTGGGCAGAGTTGTCCCAGTGCCACAGCAGAGCTCCCAGGCAGTGATGCCCTGGCAGGTATGCCCTGCACAACTAGCAAGTAGCCCAGGCAGGGACACTGCAGTGCTGCAGCATGGGTGCTGGTTTGGGTACCCCAGTGCCCCGACAGGATGCCCAGGCTGGGGTGCTCCAGTGCCCCAGTGAGGATGGCT